GGAAGTTCTACGTCCTCGAGCAAAGAGAATATTCGCCCCGAGTAAACGGAGGTTGGAGGACGGGACGGCGGACGCGATACGTTGCGCTCTTCCTCGAGATTTTTTCGCGATTCATCTCGATGGGATCGATATGCGACGTTTGCTCGACCGGGGGAAGTGTCCTTTGACGTGTACGAGAGTTTTCGTTTAAGGAGTGACAACACGGGGGTAGTCGATCCACGTGGTTAGTGTTAAGTTAGAAATCTGATCATGTTGAGTTACTATTGTGGACATTTTTGGGAGAATTTGCAATTTAATTGTCATAAGTGAAGTACATGTGACTTGATTCTCGTTCCATTCATGTGTCTATATTTCATTTTAAATGAAAAAAGAGACTTGCACGTTTTTATGCATTTTGTGCATAAAAGTCCATTGTTTCTAGTATTGTTCATGTAACACTATATTTCTATAGGATTTTGCGTATAAGTGCATCATTATGGACAATATGTATACACTGTGTATATGCAGTCTGTCCCAGAAATATTTTTAACCTCTAAGTTTATTGAAGAAATTAGGCTTGATGTTTACAAATAAATTTTTCATTACATATATACAAGTGTAAAATTTATACGTGTACATATTTATAATGAAACACTTATTTGAAAACATCAAACCTATTATTTATTTTAGAGAAACTTCTTCAATAGATATTGAGGGTACGAATATTTATGAGACACTGTAAGTGCAAACTTGCACACAAAGTATACGAATATTTACCTACAGGTAGAGTTGTACAAATAAATTAATTCTATAATTCAATGCTTACCTACGTGGCTTAGACTGTTCATACAGGAAAAAATCCAGCGATTATTTGAGCGAGAGGACGATTAGGCCGTGGGCGAAGGAAGGGTGTGAAACAACGCGCGTGCGTGGCCGAACGGGGCCGTTAAATTTTCATTAACGCAAATTACGAAGCGAGCCACGCCGCCTGGCCGCTGATAGTTCCAGCAATTATTTTAAGCGCGCCCTGTATAAATCAGCTGACCGAACCAAATGAACCCTGAATAACAGTCGGCATCGAATAGAGCCAGCGGGATGTGCCCGCGGAACACTGGCTCTGGTCTCGTAATTAAAAACGAGAAAAAAACGTTTAATGGTTTCCGTTCCGCCTCGCAATTTGTCCAATCCCCCGATAAAGTTGTAGGCGAACGGCGATTGTTCAGAATGTGTCTCGGTTACGCCTATTGAAATAAAACAATCATTGTTTGTATTCCCTTCTTTCCTTTTAAATATAACCGAACGCTGTTTACACTGCTGCCTCGCGATTGAAAGTTACGCTCGTTTGTTTTGGATAGTTGAGTAATGATTGGTATGGTTGCTTGCACGTAAACATCTATATTTTACATAGATCTCTCTTCAATCAATAATATTATTATTTGTAGATTTTTTAAACATTCAGAATCTCTAAAAACAAAATTGCAGCCACAGTCACACAATTCATGAAGTAGCATTATTCCTGAACGACGTTTCTCAATAGAATCTAATTGTTACTAAACGCTTAATTGCAGTGAACGCGTTGAAAAATATAAATTCAAAGAAAGACCTTGCCTCTATTTATCATTATAACCACGATACACCAATTACGCTCATCCTGCATCAGAGACACTCTCTTTACGTTACATTTCCGCTTAATTTAGTCCCCGTCTGGTTTTTATTCCTTAAACGTCGCGGAGTAACAAGGTGCGCGACAATTAGAAGCCCATAATTTAATATGCTAATTACGTCAAGCCAGCGTATAAATTCATTTGGAAAGCCACGCAGAGCCGTGACATATTTATTACAAACAGCCCATTCGGCAAGAATATTCATGAACATTTTTATGCACGTACCGTGGCATGCCAGAAGTGAAGTTAAGAGAAAAAAATTTAATTTTGTTTACTGTAATGACCGCTACATTTTCATCCGGGCACCATCCTCCCGCTTAATCCAATTCGCGATGAAATTGTAGCCCACGGGTTGCTCGCTGGGGAAATATTTCCATTCAAATCGGATCGTCGATATCCTTGTATTAATAACTTTCATATATTTTTTTATGCGAGTCCTCCACCTTTCGTTTTCAGAAATTATTTTATCGGTAGTAAATTGTGTGCTTCGAGAAAGTTGTAGTATTTTTAGAAGTTTCTTTTACTTTTAAGTAGCCCTCAGGGGCTGTAGCATGCGAATATGCAGCTACAGTATGGGTTTAGCGACCCCGAGGTACCCCAGCTGAAAAAGGGGGGGGGGGGCAATGGGACCCCAACAGACATGCATCGGATTGGAATGTTATGTAAATTGGAATGCAATTGGAACTAAGCGTTGGTTTCTAACTATAGAAGCCCCGCAATTGAGGAGTTAGCTAAATAATGGCATCAGTGTAATAACTAAATTGACAGATACGCTCTTAAATAAACAAAGCTCAAAGCTACATTTCAGTGCAATAATTTTAATAAATTTGTTTCTGTTGTGAGAGCATTCCTTAAATTATGACAAAATGATCAAGTTTCCTGAATGTTGTAGTGCAGAATGATATTAATGAATTTTCCAGTGACTATTTCATCCCTTAAGTTCGTTCTAGGCAAGCCCAAAAAAATAAGCATCCTCTGCAGTTTAATTATCGACATAAAAATTTTTTTTCTTCAGATAGAACAGATTCGATACCAAACTTTGTCCTTGTTCCAAGACGAGTTGTCATTTCCGTCAGAATTTCTCCGCAAACATCGAATTCTGGCCACAGGCGGAAATAAATTCCTTGGAAACGCGAAGGGGAAACAGATATCTCTCTTAGTTAACAATAGTAAATTGGCTCGCTGCTTCCCCTTTTCAGCGATGTGAACGCATTTTTAGACTAATTAATTCGCGTCTGCTCCTGGCTGCCTTTCTTCTTTCCGGTTCAATTGCCCCCTTCGAGAATAAAAACAACACGACAGGGTGTAAGACAAAACAAACTGCAAAATTGTGATGCTCCTGTAATTTACATACATTTTCACGCAACGTTGTCTCGCAATTAGACTGTTCTCTTTGAGATATCTCATTCCTCGAAAGGGGTTATTAAAAGCGTCGTCGTTTTCGTTCGTGGCAAAATTGCGAAAGGAGGAGATAGGACGATGCACGAAGACGTCCTCGTTCCAGTAAGGTAGCAATATTGTGAGATACTGCGACGGAGGTGTACGTATCGACTTCTTTTTCTTCCATTGCAGGGACACGCAGTCGCTGCGAGCGACACACGTTTCGATTATTTCGCCAGCGTCACGGATCGGAATGCAAAGTTCTCCTTCTCTCGAACACACGACTGCAATAAATTCGCCTTACGTCTCGCTTCTGTTTAACACTGACTTCTTTATCCCCGATGAACGTGCAAGAATTTCATTTGCCCTCCATTAAATTTGCCCCCTTTTCAAATCTTGCGTACGACTAGGTTTCACGAGTGCCTCGAATATTAAGACTGTAGTATTCGCGCCTCCCATACCCAACAATAAGGAGTCAAATAAGAACACGAAACGTAGGATACGGGATTGGTCGCGTAGGTAAAGCGATCGACTGTGATCCGAGGATCGTGTCTACAAGACTAATTTTTGTATTGCATCGTTTCGGTTGAATTTTGCAATGATGTTACAGCTTGAAGCCTTAGGATCAAGAGTTTTAATAGAAAATGCTCTAATTGTATGAAACGTCTATTAACACTATAGGAAAATTAGTTTCTTTATTTCATATATTTAGATAGTTATTTATCAATGTGTTAGGTAGTGAAATAAGATATGAGTTTCTATAACCGCAGTTTAGATAGAGATTTATGGTGGAGTTTAATTGACAGAGTTCTCCCGTAGCAACAGCCATTGGGAGTTTTATTCGTCCTCGACGCAATCTCATCCGACATGATTAATGGAGAAAAGAATCCATGGGAAAGGGCGAATGAATTCTTGACAAGCAATAAATGTACGAAAACAGGTTCAGTCTGAACTAATACAATAACAAAAACTGTTTAGAATATCAATAAATAATCACGTTCACGCCTACTTTCTTTTATTCAAAATATTCTCAAAAATATTAGAAGTTTCTGATTACAAATGTCATCAAACAAAAGTAATCCAGACAGGATACACTGAATAGTTTCACAAAGAAATCGAGCAGAAATTGATTATATGCTAAAGTCATGGAATCGTTGCCTCTAAATGGTAGAAAACAGGGAATAATATCAATTAAAAATCAAAGTTCCTCGACTTCTCGACTAATTCGAACTCCGCGAAGGTTTCAATCGGACTACTAAAAAAATTCAATTAAATCAACCCCGCCCCACCACCCTCTTCTCCTCCGTTCTTTTTACTTTGTGAATCCACTCGCTAGCGCTTCTGATCCTCATTGGTATTTTCTCTCGAAATTGTTCTCCGTCCACGCGTTTGGAGAACATTCGACTCTCAGCGATTCGTCACGGCTAACGCTGGTCGTCGCGTCGCGGCGCCACGCTCGATTTACGAGGATTACAGACCGCTTATTGCCGCGCACCCTCACCCCCCTGGGGGTGCAAACGAGCGTGGCCGATCCTACGTGCCATCGTCGTATTAACGCTTTCCAGAGTGGATGTCATCGTTTTCGCCAACGGAATAGCGAGGGTGATCATTCCACTCGTTACTCTCCTACCCCATTATTACGTCATCGAATAATCGACAACTATTTTATTCGTTTGTTCCGTCATATTTCATTCTTTCGGATTTAACAGGAATTGTATTTTATAGAAGTAAAGTAATGTCGAGTATAAATTTTAGAAATTTATTATTCAAATTCCCAATGAAAAATGTAATTAGTAAAGTTTGAATTTATCTTATCTTGATTCTGAGATACAAATACATTCACTTGGTGTTTTTTAATTGATAATTTTATGATCCATAATACATGTTCTCGCGCGGGTTTATTTATCTAATTATGCTACGATTTAGCGTTTACAAGAATATAATGGTATGCAATGAGAATACAATTAAATTGCTCACCGTTTTCTTCAGACGAGATATCGGTGACATGTTCAGGCCAGCAATGATGGCCATCAGAGAGTTGAAGTTACCAATGTTGAAGCACTCGCGGGCTGTTTCGATCCAGTACTCAACCACACGCACACGCTGCTTCTTTTTCGGATGCTGCGAAATGGTAAACGCGGTTATTCGACGATTTTATGTAACAAGATTCGATTGTGCATCTTTTAAAGTAATCTTTTAGTGCCTTTCACTACCTCCAAAAATTGCAATCGAAATTTGATATAATGAATTCCTTACGTAAAAATTGATTAGAAATTAAGATTTTCCATCGCGATTTACCTTGCACACTTCCGTTGCTACGAAGTAGCTTAGTCTATTAAACCACTGGACGTACGACTCCAGATTGCGCGTTTTCTTCATATCCTTGAACGATGTTTCCAGATGAGGAGACTCCTATTTAAAATGAAAAATCATTAACTATTCCACCTTCTCCGTCCAATTTCTCGAAACTTCACGTTTCATCCAAAAGAAAGCACAGAATACGAGATACCTCGACTCCAGTGACGAAGACGACACGTACCTTGGCGAATGCTTGGACGAATTCTTCGGGGCCGATGTAAGAGAGCCTCTCCAGCTCCACGTGGGTCAATTGCTGCGCCAGAACCGTGGCCGAGGGGCACAGCTCGGTGATGTCCACCTGAAAAACGCCAGTGACAGTTCCATTCGGTTAAAGTGCCCGAGAAAGCTTTCCCTGGAAGTCACGGGGGGATGCGGGAGCGTGGGTAAGGGTTGGAACGGACGCGATGAAAGGGAAGAACGAGGGCGTCAACGAGAACTCGATTCATGGCGGACGCGGAAAGACAGAAAGCGGAAACGGTTGAACGTGCGGAGTGTCGCGACGTCTCTTCCTTTCCTTTCCAATTTCGCGTCCTCGTGCTTCGTCGAGCAAATTCGAGCGAGTTCTTATCTGCGCCAACCGCAGTTCCGAAGTGGCTACGGGTACGTCGCGACGCCCTCGGACACCCCCGATAAAGATTTGGCGACTGACGTTCCCGAATTCGACCCGATGCTAAGCACGACGCACGCCTGCGGTCGTTATACCGTGTACACGCCAAGCGTCGCGACGCTGGGTGCCTCTGACAAGATGCTGTACGAGGCTGGGAAGATTCGAGTTAAAGGGTGGTTGTCGTTTGTGTTGGAAATGGGGAAGGAGTGGGTAAATTCATGATTTGCAGAGAGATAAAGCAAATTGTGGGAAGGCTTGTTAATATATATATATATATATGTATTAAAAAAAAATAGAAATTAGAAATAGAAACGTGAATGAACAGTGAAGTCATCACCGTGTGAGTGAAAGAGATAAATAGAAATGGAGTTATGTGTACAGAACACGATAAACATTAACCCTTTACCCCTCGTCCAACCTTATGGGAACCCCTGGACCAAACATTTTTAAAGAACATTTCAAGAACTTATCGCACACAAAATCCTTAAATCTGAATTCTTTGAATTTCCAAACGTTCGACAAGTAGTCATACCTCTAATTATACTTCTTCTTCTGCCAGATAATTTGTGATAATTGAACTACATCTGAAAGAATTCGAGTGAAATGTCTGTTCGGGTAAATTGTGAATTACATTTCAAATTATGACGCGAGCAATTTAATTATCGTTGAAATTACTTGCAATAGTCGACACGGGGATGGACTGTAATTATTTCCTTGGGAAATTTTGCCAATTTTTCCCTCATCCAGGTTAAAGAATCATCAACAGTTAAATATGGCAATTAGCGCGGTCAGGTTACGCGGAGATAATTGCTCGAGTTACCATAATTAGTCGGCTGTTATTCGCGTTTCAACGAAATATATGGAAATTGCTGGTAATTGCAGTTCACGGTAACAATCGAGCAATCGAGAGATAAAAATTCTTTACTGTGCACTCCTTCGCGGCACTTGAATTTTTATAAGATAATATTTATAATTTGTTCGTTGCGTACGAAAGTGTACATGAATACTGCGCGAGAATAATTAATTTTATGCTTAAAAAAATATAGTATTGTAATGTCAAAATGGACTTATAATATAGATATATATAATAGACTTGTAATAATTTTAGGTAAATAATGTTAACTTCAAATAATATCGACTGCATATTTTTACTCTCAATTTTTGTATATTGACTGTTATAAAACCAAGCAATTTTTTATCCTCATTCTTAGTATCTTCAATGCACAATTTCGTACATACCCCCAATTCGTTATTTAACAAAGCACTAAATCACGCTCTTCAGTCTCATAGAAATGCATCGCAAGACATTCTGTAACGAAATGCGAAATACATTTTCTGGGTGAAGTCACCGCAAAAAAGAGATAGAGAGATCACTTTAGGAGATCACAGTTCCAAAGGATAAAAGACATCGGAGATGCGATGAAAAAGCCCAGCAAAACAAGTTACTGATGCATCAGCTGACAAAGAGTGGCTACCTTGTGAAGCGTTATGCTTTTTCTTCCTGGAAGCTTCTACATTTTATTCGCAAGGGATCCCACTCTTTCCACGCATTCTTCTTATAATTCTATACTTTTTACTGTAAAAGGTACAGCCATTTTGATGTCGAGATCGAGAAATTTGCATGAAAAAAAAACTTTTTTTATTTTGCAATTAGTGAGGTAGAAATGAAGAATTTAAATTAAACCTTTCTTTCTTCGATTCACGTTCCATGGATCTGTGGTAACTGAATGATATTCACTATATCAATGAAGACTATATCAATATTCTAAATAAATTGATTCTTTCTTCACCACAAAAATGACGATTTCAATGTAATTATTACTCAAAACGTTCAGGACTTCCTTTCCATACTTTTCCCCAATGGACGATATTTTTTCAGCTCTTAATTAGCAACAACGAGGAAGATTATCCAAGCGTTTCGTGTACGTTCCCCCGAAATGAAAGTACTCCATTATGCTCCGGATTAGAGTAGCTCCGACGAGTGTGTCTGGGGCGAATTAAAACGGCCAGACATTCCGCACCGCGCCGAATCGATGGTCGCATTCAAATAGTATTTTCCACCGGACGTTTCCGTAAAACGTCATATCGTTTCCTTGACGCGATAAAAGTAAGAACCGTCGGCGCTCGAATAAGATCAGCGAGCCGCGTGATTCGGTTACGGGCAAATGGCGTTCCCGCAGCCTCCGTTTCTTCAAATTAGATCGTCGATCGAATTATCAGCGAACAGGGAGCGATGTGACGTTTTCGATCGGACCGGCTGCGACAGCATTGATTCGATCTACTAGGAACAAACAGAGCGCGAGCGAAACGTTTGATTTGCGTGCAAATTCAATTGTATACTTTTCACCACGCGATAAGAAAGCGGAGCCAACGACGCGTGAACGATGCAATAAAACAACAATAGCGGTGGAATTTTAATGTTGATTTCTTAAAATAGAACTCTGTCGTGGTAAAAATGGTATAAACCCTTTTATGAACAGGTCGATGAAGTCACGTATCGACAGCGAAGTAGAACAGTGCGAACGAACGTGATAAGAATGACGGGGAAGTGCCGAGTGAAGTTGTTTGGAATCAAGAAACAGTCAAGGAGTGCGAAAAATATAAACTGCAGAAGTTTTTCACTAATTCGCACGTTCTTGAATTTAGAAACTACGAAATCAATCAATTCACTTGTATACGATATAAAATTGTTTCTTAGAAAGCTTCATTGAAAATTCTAAGAATTTTCAAGAAACTTTCTATGTTCAATTAGAAGATTGAAAAATGATTATACACACGAACACCTACTGGTAACATGATTTATATATTTTACAGTAAATGTAGTGTAATCTGGGGTGAGTTTTCAAGTTGCCAAGAAAATTCAACACAAAACAAGATGATTAAAAAGAGTTATATAAACACCTATTAAGAACGTAATGTGGTCGCTGCATACGGAGGAAATTTGTATTAGGATAGCATAAAGCCATCCCAGCAGTCTAATCCCAGGAAGTTTACAACTGCTCGAGTTCCGGGGACGATAATGTTTGCGGCGTTCAAAGAAACCTGCTGGAAGGTATCGCGCGCTGCATGCAATTCACTTGTGAACTGTAATACGCGACCGAATGCAATACTCCCTGTAGACTGTCGCAGTTTCTTGCGTCGGATAATTAATGACGATTTCGAAATAGTACGATATATTAAGTTGGGAACAACGGTATAATTTCGCTTGGTCCTCGTTGCGCGCAATATCTGCCGGCGCATTCAAACCGAGTACACTGGTAATTTCCCACATTCGCACCGCAAACGATAAGTGTACGGAATTGTCGTCGTTCTGTGCTTGCACCGAGTCAAACCATTAGACGTGAGTCATTTTGGGAGACAGATCGATCATGAGCGTGGAGGAAGTAATTAATGTGTTCGGTGTAATTATGTCAGGATTTATAATTCATTCGTGACCAGTGCTCTGTTTGGAGAAAACATTTGTTTAATAGTATTAGAATTTATTCGAATGCCACGTGATTTTCAGGTTATGCTACTAAGGCCTAAATAAAGTAAATTGTAATTTTTTTGAAATCCTGTCGAAGCTAATCTTCTCAATACAAATCAAATGTTTTCTTCGCCTACGAATGGAGCTGTTTTTCCATTCATCACTATGAAAACAGTATTATTAAATTTTGTAGAGGAAAGGACGTTACAAATAGCTGTATCCACCCCCTGACTACTGATAGTGAGGCGTTTTAATTATTTAAAAGCAGGAATTAAATTCGATTCCGCGTTAATTGGATACAATGGCTTGTAACGGATTTAATATGGATTTTAATGTGTATTATCGTCACCAATTAAAATCCTGCTATCTGGAGTATCAACGTTAACGGGCACATTTAAATAGGTCTGATAAGCGAGCGGGAACTGCGTACCGAGGGCCTTTGTGTTTGTCTCCAGCTTCTCTTTCTATCGTCATTACGCGGAAGAAAACTTAATTAAAAGCTTTGTTCGCCGTGACACGCAGGATGGCAGCCTCTTCGGGGCACTATTAGTTCCCAGTTGACTCCAATGCACGAGTAATATACAAGGTGTCGAGTACTTTCATCGCTTTTACAAAAGTTATCACAATTTTAATTAAAGAATAATATTTGCAGTGTTAAAGCTATCATTTCCAGGACGAAATTTTAATTTAGATAAGAAAATAATTCTTTTACTCCTTCGGATTTTTGCCCCTTTATTTTCTTTTTTTTTTTGAAAAGTTTCTGCAATTAATTGCTGATAAATCATACAGAATACAAAGGGATCAGGTACAAAGTATCAGATTAAATATTTTAAACGTTAGGAAAGTATCCAGCTGGTAAATTGATGTAAAAGTCTGCAAAATCGGAGGTTTCATCGTTTAAGATGTGGAAGCTGTTGTGAAATTAAGTTTTCTCGCAAGTGGCTGCTCGAACGCAATAAAGGATCGCGATTGAGTCGTTAGGCGTTAGGTGTTCGTTCGAAACTTTGTTCCCACGTTGGAAAAAGCTTGAAGGCGTGCTACTGTTGGACCGCGGGTTTCTTTTGTTTCCAGAAAACACAATAAAAGTCGAGTAATTGAAGCCGTTTAATTAATAAATGTGTTGAAAAGTGCTAAGCCACGATAAGATTCTTTGAGACAGATTAATACGATATAAACCCCTTTCATTCGGTGCCGACAACATTGCATACTTTAGTACCTAATATTT